TCGGTGCATGCCATGTCGATCCTGAGAGGGCGAAAAATCCAAGGCTGGTGTATGACCTAGGAGTACAGGATTACATCAATTTTCTCTACACAATGAATTACACCGAGACACAAATTAAGAGGTTCATGCCAGAGCCAAGCTCGTGTTCGAAATTTGGAGGAGGGGTGGGAGATCTCAACTACCCGTCTTTCGTGGCGATATTCGACGCAGAGACAAAGGAGAGGATGTTGACGAGGACCTTGACGAAGGTCTCGGAGCTGCTCGAGATGAACTCGCTTCCATCGCAGAGAATGGGCAGAGGTGGAGAGGGCCGAAGGAGGAGGAGGAGGAGAGGAGGGAGGGGGAGGAGAAGATTGAGGGGATTGGGAAGAGGGATGAGGAGGGAGGAGGAGGGAGAGGATGAGGAGGATGAGGGAGAGGGGGAGGTTGAAGAGGAGGAGGAGGAGGAGGAGGAAGAGGGGGTAGGAGCAGGAAACTGTATTTAATGAGGGTTTTTTTTGAAAAAAATCTCATCAGCACTGGTCGGAACAGTAACTCCGGCCAAATTTAAGGCCTATATGGCGCCGGAGTTGAGAAAATATACCAATCTGACAAAACTAAAAGAAAATATACCGACTTGTCACCAAGCCTCTATAAAATATACCAATCTGGCCATTTTGCCTATATATAAGCTTAATTAAAACTCTCCTCAAAAGAAAGTCTCCAGCATGTTGCCCCTTTCTCCTTCAATTGTTGAAGCCTTTGAGTGGCAACTTGAAGAAAACATGATTAATGAACTTCATTGTGATGATCTATTCGCAGACTACAACCTTAATGAAACAGACACATCCATGAGCATGAGCAGTTTGTCTCCTCGGCGACAAGATACCGATCATGATGATGGAAAGAAGAAAATTTCAAATGCCGTGAAGAAATCAAGCCAACATGCCTATGAACGAGACCGAAGAGAGAAACTGAACAAGCTCTACTCCTCCCTTAGAGAACTTCTACCAAAGGATAAAAGAGTATGTCATGTCTTATAAACCTTTAATTACTCTACATTTTTTCTCTAATTATTTGAAGATTTTTCATCGTGCAGAAGAAATTGAGTATTCCATGTACAATTGCTCGTGTACTGAAATATATACCTGAACTGCAAAAGTGCGTCGAAAGGTTGAAATCTTCGAGAGAAGAGCTTTTGTTGAGGGCATCAAATGATGAATTTGATTCAAATTGTGACAAAGGAATGATGAATCCAGTGATTTCAGCAATATGTCTGAGTAAAAGAGAGATCATGATCCAAATATGCATATTTAACACGAGTTCAATGATCACTTTCTCGAAGATTATCAAGATTTTGGAGAGAGAAGAGCTACAGCTTTTGAATGCCACAACCCACACCACTCATGATGATAAAACATTATATTCTCTTCATCTTCAGGTTAGGTTTCCTCGCTTGGTGAGATATCTATCTTCATGTTTTAATTTGCAAGTGTATGAACGTGGAAATTTTAAATTTTTTGTAAAATTGAAAATTTGTGATATAATCAAGGAGGACGGTAAAACCAAAATCTCACCAGACAAAGAAGAAACGAAGGTTGTACTTAGAGAGGCCAGATGGTACGTATAAAGAAGATAACTAATAAAAGAGACAGGATCACATACATGCATGAATAAAGCAATGTTGAAAATAGCGTTAACGTATAGCGTAACGCTTACCTCCGGTTAGGTTACAATAGCGATAACGCATAGCGTAGCGTAGGTTAAATAATTTATTATTATTTAAATAATTTATAGATATATAACATTCTAAATAAAAAAATATGAATAATCATCGTAATTTTTAATTTCACGATTTAATATATCATCACAATTTCACAACAAAATCAACCATGTTTGTCTTAATAATCAATCCAAAAGCATAAAATATAGCAACCTAGACTAAAATGTAGCGACTTATATACATTAAGTACAGCAATTTAGACAATCAGTATGTTGACTGAAATAAAAATCGGGTTTAAAAATAAACATTAGGATACTCTGGGTTAAAGATTGAATTTGGAAATTTGTGGGCTGTATAATAACTGTAAGATAAAAACCGGGTTCAGAAACACGATATAAAAACCGGGTTCAGAAACATCGTGTATTTATATCAAGGGCTGACCGTCCGATCCTTCAGCCCTAAATGAAAGAAATCACCGCCTTCCTCTCTCGACTCTCTAACTCTCCGTCCCTAAATACCCAAATCTCACAGCCACTCGCCGCCGCAATCGCCACTCTCTAACCCAACGACGAATGCCCTAATCTCGGTGGGAGACGACGACGACGTAGACGAGGACGACAAAGTTCCAGTCGGGCGACGAAGACGAGGACGTGAAGTGAAGACGAGGACCGGAGAAGAAGAAGATGACGAAGGCCCTAAGGTCGGCGGGAGACGACGACGAAGGCCCTAATCTCGGTGGGAGACGATGACGACGGAGACAAGGACGTGACGGTGATGACGAGGACCTGAGACGACGAAGACGAGGACGTGACGGTGAAGACGACGACCTGAGGCGAAGACGAGGACCGAGGTTAGAATCTGGGCGACGGCTTCTCATTTTTTTTAGGGTTTTGTTAAATTTCAAGTCAATCACAGCCGTTGTTTTTTTTTTAAATAAATCCTGGCCATTAATAAAATAACGCGGGTTATGAAACGTTACGAAAAAACGCTACGTTACCTGCGCTACGGCCTAAATAGCGTGCGTTATTCGTCATCTACGCTATTTCAGAAGGCTATGTAGCGTTATCCTCCCGCTACGTCACGCTAAACGCTATTTTGCGTTATATGGCGCGTTATTTTCAACATTGGAATAAAGTACTACTCGATACTCATAATGCCTTCTTCCTCAGCTATTAAAAAAATAAGAGTATAGGGACGGATTCAACCAGTACCCCTTTAGCGTTTGGAATCAGTGACCTCAAACTCTTATACTTCGCTTTCATAAGCTCTCTCCTCTGCTTCTCATTTAGTGCAAATTATTTAATTTAGGTCCTGAGCTGTTGAAAGTTATCGATGTAGCTGTCATTGGAAGATGCAGAAGATTCAGGAGATCCGATGCAGGCGCGCGCGTATGTAGGATTTTGGTCCCAGTGCCGATTGCTTGAGTCCCAATTTATGGTGTCCATATGGGGTGCAACATTGATATCCTCCCTCATGAGATCGGGTGTGATCGACGCAGTGGCATTCTTGTGTCCAGTATGGAGGTTATCAATAAGTCCATTGTTGGTGATGCTATTGTAGTTAGGAAACCGGGAGGGGGGGTAGCAATCAATGAAGGTGCTATAAGATTGGAGCCGGGGAGGGGGATCAAATGAGCTCGAATTCTCATGCATCTTTGCTCCAGTACTGTTTTCAGTGGACTGGCTAGATAAAAGAAGACGAGGAAATGTAAATTATGGCTCTTCATCTAATAATATAACATCATGAAGTGTGAGAGCAGTTGAAGCATGCAAAATTCATGACTGTTTGCATGAGGTGTTTTTGGTTAATTTTTGTTGTTCTTCTTTGGAAGAATAATTAACTTTAAGTTACTGATATATCATGTAAAAGAAATGATAAATGCATTCCTAGTCTGAAATTTTTACAGTGGTATTGAAAATAATCTTTGTTTTGCACCGTGGTAGTGGCAAAAGGTCTTTCCATCTGAATAAGTATGCGCTAAAATTAACTCTTCTTAACATTCCTCTTATACGAGGATTGAAGGGAACAAATTATATTGAGATCTGAAGTGAGGGGCTGATTAATTCTTGAGAAAAAAAAATTATAATAATTTTATGAACACTTTCTAACTCATGTAAGTGTCAGAAGCATTCAAAAAGACTTCAGAAATCATAATGTATAGTAATAAAGTGTACAGATAGATTCAATGGTATCATGCAGTAACACTTTGAGTCAGTCGTTTCCATATCTTTTTCTCATATTATGGATACAGAATTTGATGGTTTTACCTTTTCAAATTCTAATTTTCTTCACCCAAAATTTTCTAAAATGTTAATTTTTGAAATTGCTACTGGAGACTACTGAGGGAAGCACGCTTTTGATGTGGATGGAACTGAAACTGATTGACGAACACAAGAAAAGTGTGAAGACTGTTTGTCGAAGCATTGCTGAACTCATGACTAGGTCTGTATGTTGAAAGCCTTTTATTTTCATTCTTTTTCATAGACCATTTTGAATCTGAAAACATTCCTTAATCTGAGTCCTGTTTCATTGAGCCAGACTGTAAGTTGTATTTATCTTTCTAGTTTATTTTTTCTTTTTAGGTTAATTATATCTTAGATAACTTTATCTATCCCTCAAAAACTTGAGTTGTCTGACAAAGCATTAGTTTAGTCTTTCTCTTAACTATTGTTGGAAAAATAAAATGTTAATATGACATAATTCTATTTTTATATGACTTTGGAAGGGTTAGAGATAAATTACTCATTTCTGAAAAATTATTATTCAAAGAGAAATTCCGATTTTATTCACTAACAGTTAGAAGGGGAGGGTAAAGTTGAAGGACTACTATAATTTGGAGGCTGCAATGCAATCATGAAGATTTGTATATAACTTTAAAAATCTGATCTCGGAAAAATATACAGAAAACATCCAGAACAATGAGAAAATCCAAGCAGTAACTCACACAATTAGATTTGAGATGGATTTGTTAATAATTAAAATAAAAATCTACTTGTACTTGTGAAATCCTTTTCAACCAATACACCTATACAAGTTTCAAAATAACTTTGTTCGATCAAAAGCTCATTTCGTCAGCCTAGCTAAGCTGCTGGGCAACCCGTAGAAAAATCTGAAAATGAATAGATTGTATCAGTTATATGCATACATTATGCAGACGGGTACTTGTAATTCAATAATCCATCTATTGCTTCTGTTTCAAAATATATAACTCTGGGCATGTGCAAGATTCCAAACGTTTGTGGGAAAAGCCAGCTACCAAAAGAATAAAAACAAAAATAAAAACTAAAAAAAAAAAAAATTAAGGAAAAGAGACAGATAACAAAACTATTTCAGTTTTTCTGTGGATTCAATTATACAAATTACATATGGATACATTTCTCTCTGCTAAAGTTGCTGAAGTCATTGCGTTGGGAGATCCAGGCTCCAACAGAGCTTACAACCAACAACTGTCAACTCATATTGGCATTGCTATGCCTTAGAACAATTTATATACAAAGATGGCAGCTTACTTCCCCTGTGTATCTTTTTCTCACTGAAGGAGAGCCTTGCATGAGATCGAGGCCACCATTTTATGCTGGTTAGAAATGATTTAAACCGTCTAGGACAGTGTCATTCTATGAATGGGTGAGTAAAGAATCCCAGCCTAATTCAAGAATCAAGTTCCAATCTCCTGCAAGCATGAACCGTGCTGGTAAGAGAACAAATTAACACAAGTATTTGGGGGTGAAGATGAATCTCACAAAAATTACAGTGTGGCTTTGTTTGCATTTTTGAACAACCTGATAGTATATTCTACTTGAGTAGCTAACAAAGCAAACTTGTAATTTTTGAGGTAAGTTTCATGAATCCATTTTCTTCTGCAACTAGCTCTTTAGAGGTACATATTTTCTGTTAAACTGGTCCTCGTTGTATCCTGTTTTATTATCTCAATCCCATGTCATTTCATTCTAAACCAGTAACAAGGTACTTAAAAAACTATTTTAAACTCCTCATTGCCTTCTTATGCATGTCCAACAACATCTAACTGATCCCCCTTTCATTTTATTCTAAACTCTCTAAAGGAAATATAAATTTCAGGAGCTAAGCAGAAAACACAGCACTGGACCCAACATTACGCAGATCTGCCTAGAATTCAAAAAATATTTAATACAGCTACCAAGCATAAAAAGGTGGAAAATTACATCCAAAGCGCCTTTTCTGCTGAGGGTATCCAGGATTCTGCATTCCAATTCCTTGATCCTTCCTCCGCAACTGTTTCATAAGTGGGAAAAAAAAAGGAAAAAAAATACATGAGACCAGAAATGAATCTAGTACCAAAAGAAATCAATGTCAGAAAACTCCCCTGAACTTTGTTTTTTTGTGGGTTTTTTCTTTTTGGGGGTGGGGGTGGGGCGGTGGGTTGGCAGACATGATTCCCTTGGACTTTTTTATCCCACATAACTACCCTAAAATTTAGGGTGCCTCACAAACCACCCCTAAACATTGAAGTTTTCTCACAGGACAATGCACCTGTAATTTAAAAAAACTACAATTTTCTTGAGAGAAAAAAACCCTAAATGCAGGGAACATAAGATGTTGAGTTCACATATTATGTGAAATAAAAAGGTTCGGGGTGCGCTATTGTGCAAAACCCCCAAAGTTCAAGGGGGTTTGTGCAATGAACCCAAAAAAAATCTAATGGAGACATGAAGATTACCTGCTGCTGCTGAGCCTGAGCAGCATTGCCCCTTTGCATAGGGATACCTCCAGGGTTGAGACCACTAATACCAGCTTGGGAGGCCATATTAAAAGCATTCATTCGTTGCATTCCAACCATCTGCATTTGACGAGGAACTTGTCTAGGACCCACCATTGTTGCATTCCCAACAGCAGTTCCAGATTGCATCTGAACCAACAAAACAATGGCACCATTACTCAATCCTCAACAATGCTTAAAAAAATTCTGGAAGAGTTGGTTCTCAAATACTCTGTAGACATGAGAATACCCGATGTCTACAAGGTGGCCTATCTAGAAGAATTCTTCCCCTTAAGTGATGCTTCAGGCAAAAGGTTTGTCAGTTTTTGACACTAGATACAAATTTGGCTAACGATATATATGTGGATTCAAGAACGAAAGTGTCTTCATTAATGTAGAAACAAGGACTAGAGGTAGGCATTGTTCGCGGGAAAAATTGTGTTCTTCATTGAATTCATTGTACTCTCAAGTAATTGTTTATCGATTACAAAAGATCCGGTCTTTTTATAAGATCCGGTTACAACAAAATCAAAAAGAAATGAAAATTACAACCTTCCTTTTATGTCGAACGAATCGCGAGCTCCTATTTTGCGGTCACTCGCTTTTGTGGGTTCTTTGCCTGCGCCGGGGTTAATCCGTGGACCACCGCACGATCTAGATCCGGTCGGATCTACACGGTATTGTTCGCGGGAAAAATTGTAGTTTTCATTGACGTCATTGTACTCTTGAGTAATAGTTTATCGATTACAAAAGATCCGGTCTTTTTATAAGATCCGGTTACAACAAAATCAAAAGAAAATAAAAATTACAACTTTCCTTTTATGTCGAACGAATCGCGAGATCCTGTTTTGCGGTCTCTCACTTTTGTGGGTTTTTTGCCTGCGCCGGGGTTAATCCGTGGACCACCGCGCGATCTTGATCCGGTCGGATCTACACGGTATGACGGGTGCTATTTCACGAAGGAAATAACAGCCGGGGGGATTAATTCACCAAGGAAATAATCGCCCTAGTAATCGAAATCGACCAAGCGAAATCGAGACTCTTCTCGGGATCAAAAACCAATTTTTGATCCGGAGGATAACCGTGTAGATCTCAGATCTGATCTCTCTCGAACTCCTGCCTTATTTGGCGTGGATGATCGCTAAGAACCAGATCTGATATGTCCAAGTCTTCAAAGTTCCAAAGCTTCAATCTTTTTAAGTTTTGAGTGCCTTCAATCCAGCAGGCTTCGCCCTCCAAAAATTACAACCCTTCAAAAATGAGCCATGCCTAGCCTATTATAGGCACTCAAACCTGTGCCTTGGCACAGGTGGCCGGCCAACCTAAGAGGTGCTCGGCCACCGAGCCACCTAGAGGTGGCTCGGTTTTTGGCCGAGTCCTCAGGTGTTGTGTCGTGTTGTCCGTTGTCCGGTTTTATGGTTTCGCGGTTTATCCAAGTTTTATCGTTGATCTGAACTCTGATTTGGAGGTCCGGATCCCGATTGGCAGTAAATCCGTTTCGGTGATTGAGTTCAAATCCGTTCTACAGTTGGATGACTCGTTGACTCACCGAACCGTTAGCTTGATTCCGCACGCGCGAATGGATGCATTCAATTGCTTTGCGTGCGATTCGTTAGCCTTGTCGCCTCGTTAATCCCTCGTTGCGTGTCACTTGGCCTTCGATGTTGTGGACTAACGTTCGTGTTTAGATACGTCACCCGAGTGTTCGTTGGTTTTGATCGAATCATTACGGTGCGAGCTGTGTTAAGGGACCTATAAGCAGTTTTATACGCCTACAGATACCCCCTCTAAAGTATTTCAGCCTCGTTCTTTTATAGAAGAGTCTGGAATACTTTGGATATGATTGTCCCAACCTTCAGTCGGTGTAACGGGACTTTGGAATGGTTTCTGTTCTTGATTCCTTCCATCCTTCAGGCTATTCGGTGCTTTGTCGAATGTCTGTAAGATTTCCGGTGCTGCATTTATTGTCTGACCGTTGTCGGAATTTCGAACTTAAGGTCGATTCTTGATTTTCTGATCTTTAGCTCGTGTTTATTGGTTCAACATAGAACGGACTATCGATTGTTGGCTCTGAGTTCTCATTTGCGACGCGTAGTCCGGCGTAGTGTTGTTGAGTTATCCTTAAGAATATTTTTAGGAAAATATTCTCCAGAAACTTCTCAACCAAAAATAGGAAATAGTTTATACTCGTATACCTTATTGGAGTATTAAGAAGCAGTTTATACTCGTATACTTTTCGGAGTATTGATTCTTTCATTGCAACGCATTGATAGGCGTTGACCTAGGGTTACGTGTTGACCTTAGGGTTTTGAACGTCGTACGTTGACTTTTTGATCGCAACGCGTTGACTGCCGTTGACCTAGGGTTACGCGTTTGACCGGCGTTGACCTTAGGGTTTTGAACGTCGTATGTTGACTTTTTGATCGCAACGCGTTGACTGGTGTTGACCTAGGGTTACGCGTTGTCCGGCGTTGACCTTAGGGTTTTGAACGTCGTACGTTGACTTTTTGATCGCAACGCGTTGACTGACGTTGATCTAGGGTTACGCGTTGACCGGCGTTGACCCTAGGGTTTCGAATGTCGTTGGATGCTCAAGTCACGAGACCAACTAATGAAGCTAATGCGTCAGTGACTCTCATATTTATAGGATTTTTGGCAAACCCTCAGCCATCAACGGGTTTGATGAGCCTTTACCGACTACCGTTTAAGTCGGGCTAGCATGCGGATTATCTAAATCCGTTCCGCATGTGACGTTGTGCTAAGAGAGTTAACGCTCTTAGTGCTACGATATTGAATACGTAGACTTCGTCTTTCTCACTGGAATAGACTACCCGGCGACGCGTGTTAGGCGCTGACTTTAGGATTCTTGGCTAACCCCCAGCCTTCAACGGATTTGATTAGCCTTTACCGACTACCGTTTGAGTCGGGCTAGCATGCGGATTGTCTAAATCCGTTCCGCATGTAACGTTGTGCTAAGAGAGTGAATTCTCTGAGACTTTGTGCTATGATGTCGAATACATAGGTTTCGCTATTGTTACGGGAATAGGCTACCCAGCAACGTGTATTAGACACTGACTTATTTCTACTTAGGCTTCGGGATAAAATACCCCAGAATCGAACTCTTGTGTCTTTTTCTACGGAAAAAGACTAAACCGGCGACGCGTGTTAGGCGTCGACATATCCTTTCTTAGGATTCATGATGAAATTCCCCATGCGTGTAAGGCATGGATTTTGGTATTATTAATAACCTGCCACAATGTTGAATATGCGGACGGGTGTTCTTTTTAACGGTTAAGAACTAACCGGCAGCACGGGTTAAGCGCAGACTTATCACTGCTTAGGTTTTAGGATAGAATACCCCAGAATCGAACTCTGGTGTCTTTTTCTACGGAAAAAACTAAACCGACAGCGCGTGTTAGGCGCAAATTTATCCCTGCTTAGGATTCGGGATAAACTTCCTAGACTGGAATTCTGATGTCTTCTTCAATCGGTGAAAGACTAAACCGGCAACGCGTGTTAGGCGTTGATTTATCCCTACTTAGGATTCGGGATAAAATTCCCTGTACCTGTGAGGTACAGATTTTAGGAGTTGAAAAAGGTGGTGTCTTCTCTTAGGGCAAAGACGAACCCGAAATGGGAGAGGAAGAATTTTATATTCTATCTCCCGACACTGAGGAAGAAGAATTTTATATTCTATCTTCAGCTGGAAAGGAGACTCGATGTAGGATCTCCACCCCCAGAATCCGGAAAGGTGAAACTAAAAGTGGGATCTCCACTCCGAGAATCGATCACTCGATTTGAAAGTGGACCTCTCGTTCATTGGAGGAATCGAGAGGGGATTTTGGTTTTGGTCCTAACTGTAGGAAGGTTTGACCAAGCAGGAGTTTGAGATGACCCTAACTGTAGGAAGGTTTGATCACTCGATTTGAAAGTGGACCCTCTCATTCATTGGAGGAATCGAGAGGGGATTTTGATTGTGGTCCTAACTGTAGGAAGGTTTGACCGAACGGACAGGAAGTGGAATACAAATAGCAGTAGAAATACTGGTTTATACTGGCCACTCGATGAAGGGTTTTGACGTTAAGTAATCAGGACTTAACACGTCAAGCTTTGGAAATTACCATGAATTGGCGGACAGAAAATTTAGTGGACCCACCGTCAATTGACTTGATCAGTAGGGGATTTTTGTGAGGAAAGATTAATCTGTCAAAAGGATCGAATCTCGTCTCAACAAGATAACTCATGAGAATTAGTGAATTTGATAACAATAATGGAAAACATTCCGACATTTAGAGTTTAAATGTGGATGTTTTACTTATCACTTTTATAGTGATTAGGTTATCCCTAAGAATATCACCCGTGGTATTCTTTTGGGAACTTCCCGATACATGAATAATCCACCCCCAGCTTCCCTTGTGGAACTGGGTCCGACATGGTACTCAGTTACATGACCGGGTTATCCTTAAGAATATTACATATAAAAATTCTCCAGGAACTTCCCGTGAAAGAAATGAAATAGTTTAGACTCATATACATGTTGGAGTATCAGGGAGCAGTTTAACCTCTTATACCGGTCGGAGGATTGAGAAGCAGTTTATACTCTTATACTTGTCGGAGTCTCGCCATTCTCATTTGGCTTATCCCAGCGTTATGACGCCGGCTTCAACCAATGTTTGGATGCTATTCTTGAGAGCGAAGCAATCCTTGGTGGGATGAAGGACTCTCCTGTGGTATGCACGGTACTTTGGATCCGCAGTGTTGTCAGCTTCCTCCTGATTTATGATAGGTGGTAGCTTGATCTTGTTGCCTCCAATGAGGGATTCGAAGATGGCTGGAACGTCTTCGTCCTTGAAAGAATACTCTTTTTGGAGTTTCGGACCCGAAGTCTTTTGTTGTCTTCGGAGTTGCTTTTGCGACGTCTGATTAGCGCCAACAGCAGCTGCAGGTGCCTTGCCCTTACCGCGAGAGGCAAAGTTCGAGTTCAGAGGATTAGCCGTCGGTAGGTTCCTCGGCTTTCTTCCTTCGGAGGAAGCGTTCGGCTTGTTCACCGCGCACCTTCAAGTCTTTCCATGTGTTAGACGGTGCTGTTCCCATTGCTTCCAATACGTCCAACGCGAGGTTGTTGTGGCAAGTCTGGAGAATGAACTCCTCAGTGATCGGGTCCCGACAGTTCATCGCCTTGTTCCGGAACCTTTTGACGAAGGTATCAACTAATTCCCCATCTTTTTGTTTCTCGTCAAGCAACGACCCGATGGATATCTCGGTGTCGTCGTCGAAGAAATTGGTGAGGAATTTAGTCTCCATGTCGTCCCAGCTATTCACACTTCCTGGCTTGAGGCGACGATACCAATCGAAGGCGGCTCCCCGAAGAGTGCCAACGAAGGACCGTACCATCAGAGGCTCATTACCAGAGATAACCCCTAGGTGTGATTTGAAGTAAATCAAATGCTGAGTGGGTGAACCCTCCCCATCAAACGGCGTGAAGTTAATTAAATTAAACTTCGCCGGATACGGGATTGATTCCCATTCTCTTGGATATGGACAAGGAATGCCCGTCTTTTTCATCTCTTGAGCTGAAATCAACGTATTAATTTTGCTCTCGAGGTTTTTAATCTTCAAACTTTCACCTGTATTTTCGTTAACACGATTCTGAGGTGGAAGTGTGGCGTTATGACTAGCATTCTCGATACCACCACTTGCATTGACGGGAGGATTATTGGCATTATGAGCTTCATCTGCACCCGTATCCTCATCTTCTTGATTGACCTGGTTACGATTACTTGGTTCGCCTTGCTGGTTTGTCAGCGCTCGGATTTGTTGGTCATGCATTTCTCTCATATTCTGCATGGCCATCTGCATTTCGAGCCTGAAGCTCTCTTGTTGCTTAGCCATGGCTTCTTCGAGCATCTTGGCTACTTGTTCCGCGCTTATCATCAGTGACTCGCGGGGTTGTCCCTCGCTGGATACTGTATTGTCTGATGCGACAGCAGAGCAGGAATCTGATTCTTCATCTTCTGACGGCAATCTTGTCCGAACCCTACCATAAGTTCCTCGTATGATGGCTTCGGACTGCAGACGGGTCATCCGCCGGGGTACTTCCGGAATCGACTCGGTATTATCCTGTGTCGACGTCCCTTTGCTGATCATATTAGTGGTGACCCTCGGAAATTCTCCATCTTTGACAACCATTCTTCTTTGTCGGAAACGCCTAGACCTTGGTCTTGGCGTTTCGGTATTGAGCCTTTCGAAAACCGAATTTCTTTCGGGGACCGTCTTGATACAGTTGCACTCAGACAATACTGCCCGAATGAGTTTGGAACAGAGGCATTGAGTTTCTAGCCCTCGGGGACTCCTTTTCCTGGTTTTTCTCGTACTCCCATCACGATAGTACAACTCGTCGGCTTGAAGGTCGGAGTAACTTATCGTGTGTTGGCACGACTTCTCAGGTATAACGTTGTCATCTTCAGACGATAATGTTTCCCTCTGAGGGCGAACTGCCTTCTTTGGGCTTTCAAGAGTCACGCGCCTCGAGACATGCCTTTTTGGACGTGAATTCTCAGCGGGCTCCTGGACTTCAATGCGCAAATTGGCGCGCGCAGCTGCCTTGAACTCGTTGTCATGTTGGAGGTGACGGCGACCCCCAGCATGTTGAGTCGTTCGGGGCTTCTTCATCGGGCTCAAACGTTCTTGAACTGGAGCTTTGCATCGGTCATCGGGAAGTGGACCGAGACGCTCCAAAACGGACTTCCTTCTTCGGGATGATTCCGCGGGATCTCCCAGAGTAGCTATTGAATTGTCGGCGATTCATTGGTTTGCCGGAGGTGAACTTGCTTCGAAGCTGCAATGATTGTGCCTTAGCCTGAATCTCCGCTTCAGACTTCAACTTCCATACTTGGCGGGCTGGTGGCGGCTTTTTGGCCACTTCCTTCTATAGCCTTCTGCGGGCTTCTTGGACTTGAGCCCGTGCCTGCGCTGATAGTGCGCGGCGCTTGCGAATGTGCTCCTCAAGTGTCGAACGATTCCGTGTGACACGGATCCATTCGTGTTGGCGGCTTGGAGGAGCTATCATTCATTGGTTGTTGAGGCTGTTTGCCTCTCCTGTTCTTCAGATCCGCGTTATAGGCGGATTCCATCCGTGGATTCCATCGTCTTCGCGAGTTCCTTGGCCAAACGTTGACGTCGCCTCTGACGGGCTCTCTTGGAAAGAGTAACGGAGGAATCGGCGGGACGGGGAACAGGGTTGACCTGTTTGGAGGTTGGTGGAGCTTCACCCGACGCAACTTTGGCGTCAATCGGGGTGAAATCTTCGTTGGTATTCTCGACTTCTTCGTACCAACGGACCTTTCTCCTGGAGGAGAACTTCTTGGACTTGCGGGGGAAGGTCGATCCGGACGAGGATGACAGGTACTCCTCGAACTTTTGCTGGTCGAATTCATACTCGACCTTCTCCTCGACCGGGATTGAGATCCGCGGCTGCGACGCAACGATCTCGGCAGCGAGATCGGGGGGCCCCCCCGGCGAGTCATTGCACTCTTTGGTAACAGTTTATCGGTTACAGAAAGATCCGGTCTTTTTATAAGATCCGGTTACAACAAAATCAAAAAGAAATGAAAATTACAACCTTCCTTTTATGTCGAACGAATCGCGAGCTCCTGTTTTGCGGTCACTCGCTTTTGTGGGTTCTTTGCCTGCGCCGGGGTTAATCCGTGGACCACCGCACGATCTAGATCCGGTCGGATCTACACGGTATTGTTCGCGAGAAAAATTATGGTTTTCATTGACGTCATTGTACTCTTGAGTAATAGTTTATCGATTACAAAAGATCCGGTCTTTTTATAAGATCCGATTACAACAAAATCAAAAGAAAATAAAAATTACTACTTTCCTTTTATGTCGAACGAATCGCGAGATCCTGTTTTGCGGTCTCTCGCTTTTGTGGGTTCTTTGCCTGCGCCGGGGTTAATCCGTGGACCACCGCGCGATCTTGATCCGGTCGGATCTACACGATATGACGGGTGCTATTTCACGAAGGAAATAACAGCCGGGGGTACTATTTCACCAAGGAAATAATAGCCTGTAGTTATCGAAATCGACCAAGCGAAATCGAGACTCTTCTCGGGATCAAAAAGCAAGTTTTGATCCGGAGGGAAACCGTGTAGATCTCAGATCTGATCTCTCTCGAACTCCTGCCTTATTTGGCGTGGATGATCGCTAAGAACCAGATCTGATATGTCCAAGTCTTCAAAGTTCCAAAGCTTCAATATTTTTAAGTTTTGAGCCTTCAATCCAGCAGAGCTTCGCCTCCAAAAATTACAACCCTTCAAAAATGAGCCATGCCTAGCCTATTTATAGGCACTCAAACCTGTGCCTTGGCACAGGTGGCCGGCCACCGAGCCACCATAGCCACTTAGAGGTGGCTCGGCCACCGAGCCACCTAGAGGTGGCTCGGTTTTGGCCGAGTCCTCCAGGTGTTGTGTCGTGTTGTCCGTTGTCCGGTTTTATGGTTTCGCGGTTTATCCAAGTTTTATCGTTGATCTGAACTCTGATTTGGAGGTCTGGATCCCGATTTGGCAGTAAATTCGTTTCAGTGATTGAGTTCAAATCCGTTCTACAGTTGGATGACTCGTTGACTCACCGAACCGTTAGCTTGATTCCGCACGCGAATGGATGCATTCAATTGCTTGCGTGCGATTCGTTAGCCTTGTCGCCTCGTTAATCCGCTTCGTTGCGTGTCACTTGGCTTCGATGTTGTGGACTAACGTTCGTGTTTAGATACGTCACCCGATGGTTCGTTGGTTTGTCGAATCACCGTGCCGAGCTGTGTTAAGGGACCTATAAACAGTTTTATACGCCTACAGGCATAAATGAACATGGATATAGGAAATTAAAAATGTGTGAAAAAATAGAAAATGGCCTTTAACAGAGCAGAGCGAAAGAACAAGAGTTGTGTAACCAAAGGCAGAACTTTGTGATAAAAACTTCATTGTAATTGTTGTAAGAAATGGACCCACAACCGACTTTACTCTAAAACTTACTCTCTCTAATGCTTCGTAAATGGAGTTGGTAATCCCCAAAGATAGCCTTATATCTGTCTATTTGTGATGCATGCCACAAAATAAGAACCTAATGAAAAGATATTTTATACATGCATAGTGATGTGCAACACTAAAAATAGAATATGCTTTTTATGATGGAAAGAAAACATGAAAACAAGAAAATGCAAGTATGCCTTAAACGTGTCCATTACGTGTTTAGGCTCTCTTTCAACCCAACAAAACATAGGCTGCAACTTAGCTCTAAACCTTTAAAGCAACCTATGAATATGGAAAAACATCCATAATCTGAAGTTAAAATTGCAATGATCTACAGGGCTCAGGGTTGATTAATATACCTGTTGAGGAGGTTGGATGCTGGTTGTTCCTTCAAAATCAGTAGTCGTGTCAACTGGCCGAGCAGGATAATTAACAGTTTTCTCTCCAGGTTGGGATGGTACAAGTGCACTAAGCATAGATAAAATATCGACCAAGTCAAGATAATATAGCAGAGTGCATGCTTTTGCATAGCATGATATCCTACTATAAAATATCTTGGCATGCATCTAACTCACAGTAGTTTGGCTAATATATGAACAAATAGAAATAGATTAGAAACATACTTGCGACCAGGCAGAGGATCAATCCGGAAATACCTGCAATTAGTAATAAGCAAATAGTGTTCAGTAAGAGGCACAAAATAACACCTTCGTTTTCTAAAGGAACTAGAGTTGTTTCTTATGTACATTAAGAAACAATCTCTGAAACAGCAGTCAACTAGCCCACGCTAACCTACATTCATAAACTTGTTTGGCAAGATAAAACTGGATTGAAGTCTCTTAACCTCTAGTTCACTGTTATAAATAGCGGTAAATAGCGTCGCAACAGCAGCGCTAATAGTGCTAGCGGTCCCTTCCCGCTACGCTATCGCCCAATAACGATGATATATTGCGGATATAAGCTTTATGCTCGCAAAGGCGGCTAATAGCTTGCCATAGCGGTGAATACCAGGCAATTGCGGGAAAAATCCATTCTTTGACCACTATTTACAAACGGTTTGAAGTTTATTTTTTTAAAATTAAACCCGACCCGCAACCACTACATCCCACTGTCTCCTGCAATTTCTAGTGTCCTCTCACCTCCACTTGCCATGAGCTCCTCCTACCACGGTCCTCTCACCACTCAGCTCCTCTTCTCGAAGACGATTCTTTGACTCCTCTAGTCGTCTTTGGTATTATATGATAGTTGCATGTCTATTTTATGATCTTTTTAAATCATCAAATATGCACTTTTAGATTTTCTAAATTTTTTTTATTTTTTTTAATATTTATACATATCTAAATTAGACCGCTATTTGAATTTGCATTTTTTACCGCTATTTTGCTGCAATAGCCTCAAATAGCTTTAACGATGCCTCACCACTACGCGACACTATCCGCTATAGATAAACTTGCTCTAGTTTAACCTGTTGCCGAACAAGGCCTAACAGTGCAAAAAAGAGCTGCTAGACATTTGACAACTTCTATGCATACAAAGGAAAATATGTAATGGAAAAGTAACTAAATACGCAGAGATTACATTTTCAAATAAGCACTTAAGAAGTGGTACAAGCTGTCTTATCCTCCGCAATGGCTAATGTGGACGAATATCTAGTTCAGTATGCAGGTGGATATACCTATGCTAGAGACTAAGATAAAAAAATTAAAGAAAAGAAAACAAATTATTGCAGGAAAAGAATAATAGAAGCTGCAAGATTTTGATCCTTACTCATGCTCCAGAGCTTGGACTGCAGTTATACGCTTTCGAGGATCATACCTAACATGAAAATCATAAGATTACACAACTGATAAAAGCATGCAAGAGCTAATCACACCTGCTAAGATACAGGAAAAGGATTCCATCTGAATAAGTCAAGTTAGTTGCAGACACTGAAACCATCAAAGGCTACTGGGACTGGCCTCTTGATGTTACTTCAAAAGAATTAAGAGTTACATAGTGAATGAATCTCAAGTTAGATAAACTAAAGAATACAACAATTGTCGGAAGGACGAAAAAGGGCACTAAGATTCACTATCATAATGGTCAAAAGTGAACTGTTTATACACCTTTTATTTGTTCATAAAGAATCAACGAAGACTTTTACTATGGTGCAAATGAACAATTCTATTGACTGGTTGAAGATTGTTCAAGCTTATATGCCTGCAAGCCGACAGAAAGAAATTATGGAGCACAACTGTGAAGTTCTATGCTTCATTAATGCATTAGTGTCAAAGAGATCTTTTACCACTATATAGATTGACAAGCAAGCACATGCCAAATGTTGGATAATTTACTGCCTCAACAGGCACAATCAGCTACAGGATAGGTTATTATCTTCAGTGGAAATAAAACTCATTTTATGACATGAATAACCTTAAAACCCAAAATGTTGTAAAGATGGAAAGGACAATGTGTTATTTAAATTGTTATCTTCCTATTTTCTTGCACCATGGGTCTATGCAATTTGTTGA